ATAGATAGATAGATAGATAGATAGATAGATAGATAGATAGATAGATAGATAGATAGATAGATAGATAGATTACCTTTTCCCTGCCATAAGAATATGGCGCAGGTATAAAACAACAACATGTCCCAATATTTTGCCGTTTCCTGCATTTCTGTGATGTTTCTGTTACTATCATCAGCTGCAGAATAGTGACCTCTTACTTTTACTGTTCATATAAGCATTAGATGCTGCCGTTAAACTGCCCAACCCTACTACGTCACTTATAATTAGATCATAGAAGATGACGAGGGTTCAAACCCGGCTACTCCGGACACAATGGTGTAATTTCACTCGAATGGCAAGAGAACAAAGGTGAAGATCCCTTAGAGTGGCTCGAACCTGGCTACATCGAGATGACAAGGTTAAAATTCGAGCTTGCAGTCCCTGACTGTACGTCTAACGAACTGCTAATCGTTTTTATTCTCTTGCAAACAATTTCAACATTTAACCTAAAGATTCCCCAAGAATCAGAGGTCACTTCACAGATATATTGACAATGCCAGGTGGTAATTTGTCAGATTGTGTGCAAACAAACATTACATTTGCAAGATTATGAGAATATTTCCGTTCAAATTGGCATGTAGGTGAGAACCCCATAAAAAAAGAACGAAAGACAAAGGGGAATTAACACTACGTAAGTGTTAAGATAGTTAACACGCAACGTTTAAGCTTTGAGCAAATGTTTCAAATTGTCATTCTTGTGGCTTGTAGTTTTGTCTGCTGCAATTTACTCAAAAGATGAATCAATGGATGGTGGGTTGAAAACAGAAATTGAAAAGATCATCTTCATAAAAAATCAGCCACTGTGAAGAGTGGACATTGTCGCAACAATGCGGTCTTCGTGAAAAAAATAAGGCAATTTTACTTTTAGTATTCTGCCATTTACCAGGGTCCTCGGAGGGGAAAAATAGTAACTGCACCGTACCATGCATGTCGTCAAAGGCGACTTAGGGTAAGGCCAAACCTCGGAATGGCTACCCAAGATAGGAGAGGGATGGGTTTTTGATGGAAGAATTACATGTAGTAAACTACATACAAGAGCAACGGTTAGGATGACATGACATTAGTTAGTTAGATTTGGTCATATGCTATATTGGGACCAGGAGCCGCAGTGGTGTAGCGGCTAGACGCCAGCCTCTGGATCGGCAGGTCGTGGATTCGGGCCCTGACGGAACATGACGTTTGTCAGAAGTAACCTTGGCTCTAAGTTCCACTCAGCCTTGAGTGAGTATCGGAAGTAGTCCTGGTAAGTAAAGACAGCCGGCATTTTCAATAATAATATAGGTCTAGCCCTAATGCCCAATACGCCCGAAGCCGTGGAAAAGGTCTAGTGGCTAGACACCCGCCTGCTGATCTGACGGTTATGGGTTCGAATCAAAACGGAGCCGGACATCTTTCAAGAAAAATGACATTAGCTCCCAGTCCACCTAGCCTTAAATGAGTACTTGGTAGTCCTGAGAAGTCAAATAGACGGATGTGATGTTCACCAGATCACACCAAGTGCCGATTAGTCTATAAAATATTGATCTAGTTCTATATGCCCGAAACGGTGGAAAAGAGCTGTTAACTGTGCCCCAATTAAGAGAGATAAAGAACAAACAATGAAGAAGACCACGTATGCTGTTGCTCTGTAGAAGGTACGAAGTTCGTATCGTTGTCCAAATCAACACAAAAAGCATACTGCAGCTGACATCGAACTTTGGTATGTCATCATCATCATGTGCCCTGCCAACTGGCGTAGATCACGATCCCTGGTTGCCTGGAACAGCTCTCTTGATTATATCACTCCATGCCATCGTTTCAGCCCATCCAGCATCATCTCTCTTGGTCTGCCTCTACCCCGTTTTCCACTGATTTTTTGGTGTGTATAGTCTTTGAAACTACGCTCACAATTGATGAGCTTCGAACACGGACAATGATAAATAATAGAGGCTTAATGCAACCAAACGAGGCAGCTGCCGAAGTGGCTGGTCTTGTGCTCCTGACGGTCTACTGGTAGGGTATTTCAACATCTTCCGAAATTTGGATATTCTCCCGTTGATCTGAGCTCCCATGTAGATCCAGCCTCAAATGGGTACCAGGACATTTTGTGGGAAGTAAAGACGGTCGGTATATATTGTCTACATTCATCAGTAAATGCTGATGGTCTAAAATATAAGGCAAACACGGAATCCCAACACACCTTGGAGCATGAAAGAAGATCTTCGACTCAACCATTAATGCAATTAAAAGGTTTATGTGGTTTATACTTGGGAGGCGGCTGCACTAGACTTGCCTATGTGGTGACCGTCTACCCAAAGAGGTGCAGCGACTTGCGATGCATCTAGAAAAAGGGAAGCCGGACAGCGAAGACATGCTAGAAGGACCTGTATTACAGGCTCTTTACCTACAGGTACTGCTGCATGTCCTTACTGTTCTAGAATATATCCTTCCTCACTGGAATGGGTTATGTTCCTTCCGGGCC